GTAGGTTAGACTTACCGGCCTGAAAGGCTTAACGAGAGAGTAATATGCCTTTCCTATATTCAGGATAACTATAACGCGAGCCTTTTGCCACACCATTTGGGCTGCACCTTCCCTCTTGGTTTCGTCTCGGTACAGCTGGAGTGAAAGGCATCCATTATAGCGCCGTTCACCTCGTTAACGGAGTTTTCTAACCTCAGACAGTCGACGTGCCTGTTATAAGACTGAACTTCAGTTAGGTTTATCCTTAAAGTCTCGCTGTACTTATCCCAGTCAGTTTTCCTGGAGTTCTTATTTACAGGCCTTGTTTTGGCCTCAGCCCCTGAGTACAAATTGGATAATTCTGTGGTCTGACAGAGAGGGTTCTGCCGAGACAAGATTAAAATTAAGTTCAAGTTTAAGATTAAGATTAAGACTAGGGTTAAGATTAAGATTAATGAGAGTTGCATGAATTGCATGACTGACACTCATCATACCAAGTATTAAAATTAAAAATCTTTTCATATTTCCAATGCAAAAAATTTATAGTTTATTCTGTTATTATTATTTTCGTACACTCATTCTTATGTTTTACTTGTAATAATTTGTTTATACTTAGAATAAATATAACACTTTTACAAAATATCATATATGTATGTGTGTATGTGTGTATACCTTCGTGTATTTATATTAGTAAGTGGGCATATTGGTGGTACTTAAAGTTTAAATAAAATTGTAAACTCATTGACCTAAAATATGATATATTAAAACCAAAATGAAAAAATTAATAAACTAAATCCTAGGTCAATGGTGTGCTTAAGTAACATAGAAAATCACAAAAATATTTGAAGTGCTTAAAGTGAAGACTTTTTTCTTACATAACGCATGGCTTGCAGCAATCAATTACATATATATTCGTATTCGGTTTTTTTCGGACTGAGTTTCAAAATTGACTTACATACACATATGTAAATGTACATATGTATGTAAATGTGCAGTAAATGACCATTGCCGTTTAAATTTGTACAAATCAAATTTTCCAGTTCAACAAAAAATTTTGGTTGTAACTGCGAATATTACCATAAATACTAGATCTCAACTTGAGCTAAATTCTTTTACAAAACTCGTCGTTTTAAATAAGCACAACGGATTCAAGCCAGTATGAAAATGCAAATTCTTTTCGCCTGCTTGTTTTAAACATGCAAGAAATTAAGATAATTCCTAAAATATGCATTTGTAAATAAAGCACGAAATTTAAAAAAATAAATAAATAAAAATAAAACCAGGTAATTCTTAAGCAAAAAAACAAAAGCGACTTCAATTCCCATATAAAAATTTGAGAACATCGTTAATTTTTCATGATCCGATAATCGGATTTAAACCAAATTAATATGGGACCACCTGTGAGGTAACACCTTTCCTTAAAAAAAAAAGAATTATGGAAATCGGTAAACATAAAAAATATATATTTCGACGAACTGACTTTTTGTGAAGTCGTTTAATAATAAATAAGGCATCTTTTCAACTTAATTGAAAGCACTAAGAACATAAAACTTTCAAAGATATACAATTATAAATATAATAATAACAAAAATATGCTTAAAAATCGGGTCTAAATATAGAAGTGCCTGATTGTTTTTTTAGGTAGGATAGAGTGTAAAAATCTTATGGAACTTCCGAAAAACATTGGTAAAAGAACCGACTTGATAAAATAATAAAGATTGCATATATGTATGTAGTACATATAGGCTTTGAACAGCTGTGATTTACAATGTATTGGCTCAGTTTATCATTTACATACATATTTTTCTAAACATTTTATATTTTTAAAAACATTTTATATTTTTTTCCTGATCAAATACATAACATATAAACGGCAGTAGTTGGTATAGAAATAATCTGCTTTATCCAGAGTTTTCCTCGAAAAAAAAAATTTACTTGGAAATTTTTCATATGCCCATAGTAAATACAGGGAAACCAAAAGTGAAAAGTGAAACTTATGACAAGGCTGAATAAAAAAATATAAGTTTTTCATAAGATTTTTTGAAAAAGCGGGAAAAAACTCAGCAGAAATGAATGAGAAATGAGAATAATGCTTAATATACAGTGCACAGTGGCCCAAAACTGGAGTTTACAGTTCAAAATAGGCCAGCGCCTTCATTTTTCAACCGATTTCGTCATATATATACATATATATTTTTTTAGAAGAGACTTCTTGCGCTTGATTTTTGCATATTTTTGGTTTATGTTAAATTTTTTTAGTGCAACGTGTAGAGAAAGTAGCCATTTTGAGGAATATCGAGTATCCTATTCCTGTTAATAAACGTTACATAAAAAAATTGTTGAAAAAAATCATACATAAGGTTACCGGAAAGAACAAAAAATTGCAAAGTAAAAGTTCAATGTGCTTATTCATAAAAAATAAAATAGCTTTCAAAAGACATTTTCATACAAATTTTCGATTGATAAAGCAGTTAAAGTCTTCTTTATTTTTGTGAATTTGGGTGTAAATTTATAAAAACTTTTTCGCATTATTAGATTTTCAAAACCGAAAAATTGACTCTTTTCGCTCCACCCTAATGCTCAAAGAGAGGCCTTATATGTGTGGCATTTTTGTTTCACGGAAAGATTGAAAAATTTAATACAAATTTAAGTTATTTAGTTGCAATTTTTTCAAACCGCCTTATTTTATTAAATATTGTAGGTAATCCAATAGGTTAAATGAAACTGAGTTAAGGCTTTTCTGTATTAAGGTAACGATATGTGCTTACATATGTACATATATCTACATATATGTATAAGGGGTATATACTAATCCTGATTTGAATGGCAAGACTGTTAATATTTTGCAGTTGAACGTTTCTTAGCGTGAATCTATTTGTAGCGCAGTCAAACTAGTGTTGAAAATTTGGCATCCGACAGATTTTTTGCGTGGTGTTTTTACTGTGAGGGCACCATCTTGAAAACAAAGGTAGTTAATAGCCAATTTCTCCAACACGCTAGAGCAGCAACATATTTTGGAACCTCAACCCAACTGAGCCTAATCGTTTTTTGTTCCACCATATTGGTAGTGCGGCTTGCCACGATTGGCTTGTTTTTGTTAAAGCGTATTTTTTTATTTTTTTTTTCTAAAATAGTCCCCATATGTACCGAAATCTGTTGTGTTGCTCTCCAACTTAAGAGTTATGGGTAATTCAGGCAGGTTCTGCAATTCACTTCGGTGTATATCAATCGTATCGTATCGTATATGTATCGGTTTACGTAGTTTAAATGAATCGAATAACATAAGTAAAAAAATATTCGAAGAATTTATAACCAAAATAAATAAAAAATATAAATAACAAGAAATAAAAAAATACATATATGTATATTGGGTACTTTTCAGTGCCGTTTTCTCAAGGTTTTAAAATTTATTCGTAATTGTATTTAAGGGCAGATACATTTTAATACCTACCTGAAAAAAGGCCCTTAGAGTTACAAATCAATTTCGAGTAATTCTGAGGTTTAAAAAAAACACTCACAGACATCAGAATTCTTCATGCATACATTATGTAAAAAAGAAAAATGGATGGAAAATGTTTTCTAAGAACCTATTTAGCTATATAAGGGATTATTGTGCAGTTGTTGATACGCAAAACGAGCCTAGAAGAGAAGCGCTACCACAACAACAACAACAGAAGCGCTACCAAAGAAATATAAAGAACAAGTTTATTTTCAATAGAGTCCTGTTGCGACGTTAAGCCTTATATTACACATAGTATGTATGTAAATATTAAATATTTTAGTTAACAAAGATCCGAGATCATTGCGGTGTTTCAGAGCATTGCTACCTTTATATTTTAGCTCATATTTTTTCTAAAGCAATGCACTTTTCTATCAGCATTTTCAACTATTACATATTCGCATAAAAATGTTTAAGTAATTTGTGTATTTAAAAATGTAATAAACCTACACATAACACATTAATATTTATTTGCTTAACATTTGTGTTTCTGCTTTAGTTTAGGAATATCAGTTACATTCTTATTCGTGCATAAAACGATTTGTGCTAATTTTGAGAACTGTTAATACACATTGAACATGTTTTACTAATTTATTTATTTTAGTTTTATAGACAGTTAATATGAATGTATTTCTACTATATCGTTTTGGTGTATTGCTTACAATGTCATATGTATGTATGTGAATGTTTCATTCGAGTTTGTTAATTTTCTTTTAGAATAAAACTAAGCGATTTATGTTGATGCATATTTTTCAGATACACATTTGTTGTCTTTACATAAATTAGACTAGCTCCAATTTTAAATTTTTAATTTCACTTTCACAATTTTTAATTGCAATATTTTCCAAAATTCTGGCTTTAAGGTTACGATGTCGGTGGCAGTGAATTTATGTGCAAATCTTGCGAAGTTAGTGAACCCGCGCGAGCAAAATTCGCTGTCACCGAAACCTTAACCTTAATTCATAAAAATCTATATGTACTTAATTTTGTTGGAAACTCGAGTCTTTATGTTATTTACTATTGAGATTATCATCTATTCGATAAGTCAAATTACTAGCTAGATACATATCTAGCGTATTAAGCTTCAAGCGAAAAACTGTGATTTTTTTTCGTGCGATAATTTTGTGCTAAAAGCATTGCTACTTCAATGTTGCGTACATACATATATACAGTGGTATTCAAAATAATAACACCAAAATTCAAAATGGTGCTGCTAGCAACTTATCTTTATTTATTTATTGTTAATAATTTTCATTTAAAATATGGGTCGATCTATATCAAATACCACATAAATAAAAATTTTAAAGCTTATACAAATTTCAAAAAAATTTTTAAACTTAAAAAGTTGCTATCTTTAGAAAATTTTCGGGTATGCAGTTTTGTAGCCACAAAAAAAATCTAAAAAATTAACGGTAATTTTTAGCGACTTGAAACTTGCACTTTATTATACCAAAGTTACATGTGCTACAAAACTGCTTATCCGAAAATTTTCTAAAGATTCTGATTAAAAAAATTCAAATTTTGATGACAACTTTTTAAGTTTCAATAATTTTTTTTAAATTTGTATAAGCTTTGAAACTTTTATTTATGTGATTTCTGATATAGATCGACCCATGTTTTAAATGAAAATTAACAATAACTAAATATAGATAAGTTGCCAACAGCACCGTTTTGAATTTTCCTGCTATTATTTTGAACGCCACTATATGTATGTCTTAAAACTAACTGGCTTTGCCTTAAATGCTAACGATAATTCACGCATACCGTGAATTTTTATTTAAGTTCACCATATGTTTTACCAAATCGGGTTTGCACAACTATGACTAATTCACATTCAAATTTGTTCAGTGCTTTTCCGGGTTTGCCCACCGTAAAAATAGGCGTGTCCTGCAGTCCATACGTTTTACATTTCTGGGTGGGTTTAGTAACTTTTGGCGCCTTAAAGTATACTTCTTTCACTATTGAGTTAAATGTGTTTCGAATAGATGCGAAATTTATATTTCTTACAATATTTCTTACAAATAGTCACTGTATCATTTGGGCGTCTCAGGTGGCGCAGTGGCGGAGCCGAAGAGTTCTTCATAGGAAGGTGCTGGTAAGAGGAAAGAAAGTTATTAGAAATTATTACAAACTATTTTATGAAAATAGCTCTAAAATACTAATAAAAAATTTTTCCCCCTTCCCTCCCCACTCCCACTTACGCATTTCGTGCGCTCCTGGCGGATGTAGTCCATGCAGAAACGACGATCGCGCTGCAGCTGACGTCGACGATGTGGAAGATTCCTGACGTGGCAGTGTAGTTGTCAATGACGCAGTAGGCGAAGGCATTTCTGTAGGTGGTGGCGGCGGCGGCGACACACCTGCTGGCAGTTGCATCAGTGAATAACCAGGCGATTCAGAGAGCGGCGGATATGTGGGCACTTGTGCTGGCGGATAAGAGTTAATCATAAGAGGACTACTGCTCGGTGGATACATGACATAGGGCACCGTTGAACTGCGTAGACTAGCACGCGCCGAAGGACTATTGAATTGTGATGATGTACCTGAAGCGTACGAGAGTTCTGCGGCACATACAGCGGGGCTCAAGGTGGCCGCCGAGGAGTCGGAAGTGATCGAATGTATTGAACTGGATTCGCTGTATTGTGATGAGTGAGATGGCGAACCGATTGATGAGTCGAGCGAAGGATAAGTTGCAACAGTCAGGGGAGTGCCGCTATTCTCAAATGGATTTCCAGCACTACTAGTTGTTATGTTTGCTACCATACCAATGCTGACACTATTCCGATTGCCATATCGTGGTGGTGGTCGTGGTGGACGACCAGATAAGTTATTCAACTCACCACCAGCACTACGTGAATACATCTTAAAGGGCAAATTAAGTACAAGATTCTTGAAGAAGCCACGTAGTACCGCTTCGACGCGCAATTCATATGATATATTTATTACGCCACTCAGTTCATCGTCTGTTGGCTGCGCTGTGGGCGGTATCATCAGCTCATGCGCGAAGGAACGTTCGCTCTTCTTGTGCACTGCACCAGTCTCTTTATTGGCAATTGTCACGCATTCCATTTTCTGCACCCGTAACGGTACATGGCTGTAATACCAAATATACTGTAGCACGCTGAAACGTAACTTTTCCACATTCGTTGTGCTGTTGTTAGTAACTGTGACACAAATGCGCAATGGTTCGCCACGCACCGCCGAATCTTCGGGCAACAATGCCAGCATTGTGATGGGACGTGTGCCAAAGAGACTAATAGTCTTGGTGATTTGCTTCTCCAGCGAGGTGGGATTCGATCGATAACATGACGAGAGTGGCATATGTTTCAATATCGTCAATGGTATTATATGACGTTCGTCAAAGGTCCATGGTCGTTGGATGAGTAAGCGCAGCTTATACTTGATGGAGCCGTAGCTACCCTTAAAACTGGAGGGTAGGTTCCATTCGAGTGGTACTGTAAATTCGAATGTATGCTCGCCGGGACTCAGTTCAATGCCACGCGGTTCAAAGACGGGAAGTGTGTGTTCGTTGTGCGCATAAATTTCTTTGCTGGAATAGAAGAGACTACGCGCTGATTCGTTGTTGGAATTCTTACGCAATATTTCCATCCATTTGCATTTACCTTTGCCGGTAATTTGAACTTTTATAGCTGGAAGTAAAAATGAATGAAAATTAAATTCTTAAAAAATAAAACTATAACAGGATATAACTTTTTGCAATCTAGGGACTTAACAGAACAGTAGGTATGTATATATTTAATATAATCTAATAGTCATAGCCATAGTCATAGTCTAATAGCCATCTCAAGGTGGTATTTTTGCAACTTATGTTTATTTAATTTTAAGAATTTTCAATTAAAACACAATTTATTCTTTAACAAAACCCATTAAAACCCAAGTTTGAAACTTTGTAGAAAAAAAAATAATGCAACAAATTTTCATCCAAATTTCAAACTTTTTTCTCAGAAGTGTTAGAATTTCTTGTGAGTATATATTGGTATTGCCCATTAAATTTTATCTTAGTATGGAAGCAAATGCGACAAAAAAATCTAAATAATCAACAGTAATTTTTAACCATTTAAAACTTGGACATTATTGAATGGGCTACAAAACTGTATGTTCATTAAAATTCTAACAATTCTGAGAAAAAAAGTTTGAAATTTGTGTGAAAATTTTCTGTTATTTTCTTTACAAAGGTTTAAACTTGGATTTATATGGGTCTTTTTTAGAGAATTAACTGTATTTTATTTTAAAATTCTTAAAAATAAACATAAGACGCAAACAATATCACTTTGAAATAGGGTTGCTATGATATAACATACATACATGCACGTATTTACACACATACATATGCATGTAGCATGCATGCTATAAAGTTTTATTGGAAAGGCTGACAGAAATAAAGAAAATATTAAATATTTTAAAATATTCATGAATATTAAATTATTCTTATGAACAGTTGTTCGACGAACGAACAAACGCTCGACGAACAAACAATTTTTCGTTATCCGCCCGCAAGCATTTTACCAATACGATGACGCCAAAACGATTTTTTCATTCACAGTAGCAACCTATCGTGAAGCATCGCTCAAAATGTATCTGACATTTTTCTTTCACGGCAAAGCTAGTGAAAAATTTATTCCTGCTCATTTTTCGGTGATAAAAGCTTTTAAATATTTTAATTTAATAAATATTTTGTTGACTGTAAGTAAAGAACAAGTTTAGCTCTACATTGCAACTAAAAAATTCAAGCAAGCTCGAGCCAAGTAGCTTTAAAGGGCAAGTGAAAAATTGTCATCAACCAGACGAAAATAGGGGAGAGGTAGGCGCAAAAACCGGATACAGCAAATTCTCTGCAAGCGCGGCGACGACAACGCGAATCCTCTGCGGCCAAAATTCCAACATCTTCAATACACACCCCATAATATATTGCATTAATTAGATTAACTTCTATTAAGTTTATTTATTTCCATGTTGCAGATGCACCAGTTATGAAGTTAATTAAAGAATTTACGTATTAGTGCATACGGGGGCGAAATTAACCTAAATACGTTTTCCCCCTTTAACGACGTGAATACGCGTCCGGTTTTTTTTACCACAAAAGAGTTTTTTAAAGTGAAATATTGAACGTTAAATAGCAAAAAAAAAAGTAGTGCCAACAAAATGAATTCGAATTATATAACGCGTGCTTTGTGTTTCCATGGCCAGCCCATGCAAAAGATTTGGGAAGATGAGCGCGGCGCTGGAAGCCTGCAGCAGTGCGGTGTACCCGCCCAGCCCGACTACTCAATCTACCAAGAGCGTCAGAAGTATTTTACATTTCAAGACCGCGCTAAGCGTCTTAAATTGCATCAATTTTTTGCGCGCAAGGCGCCCGATTTATATGACGCGGACTTGAGCAGCAACAAATTGCAACTTGATAAAGTAATTGAAAGTAAGTAGAGATTTTAAATAATAAAAAATTAAAAAAAAAATCATTTTATTTTGTGTAAGAAGTTGCATGCATATATGTATGTATGATTATCTAAATACGTATAAGGGGCAATTTAGCCACTGCGGATAGATAACATATTTCAATTATTCAGCAATATGTTCCGGAGAAGCGATTGAAAGAATATGTTGCTAAAAACGTGAATTTAGTATTTTCGGTTGCCATAAGTTTGTATGGAATGGGTTTTTAAACAAACTTTATAAGCAATCTATGAATACATGCTCTCCGTTTGCAGATGAGCAGCATATAGCTTCGCTACCACCTTATGAACTTTTCGTTAACAAGAATAAGGACAAACAAAAGCGATGTCGGTGCGTGCTAGAAGCATTAAAACCTGGCGATATTATATATTGCATGGTAACAAAACCTACTGCAAATATGGTACATCCGCTATGCATGGGAGAGCCGATGGTACGCTACCTGAGCGATATACCCATAAAGGTAAAAAGCACATATATTTTTCTAATCAAACGAAATGTAAGGAATGTTTTTTTTTTTTATTCAACTTCTCAGGCTTACTTAATGAAAGCTGGATTGGATAGTAACGGCAAACCGCGCCTTTTCAGCAAAAACGATCTAGTGCGATGTGAAGTATTAGAAACATCTGTAGATGCTGAACGCATTTACTTGAGTTTGGAAAGTGTACATGAAAAAAATAAAGATGTTACGCTGGGAGTCGTGACACAAGCCGATTTGCCAAAATACTACAGGTAAGTATTAGGAATAAATTTATATTGACAAAAAATATAACCACAAGAGACGGCAGCAGTTCGTGAATTATGTATATTTTAGCGAATCGGCAACAAGCGCGCTTAGCACACTGCCACCTCTTCGTGGCTTTATCTTTTCATACTACCAAACTTTTATTCATAAAACTTCAAATTTTACTCATCCTAAAGACAAATCAATGAGAATAAGTTGGAGAAATACGAGGAGTATATGCTTAAGTCAAAGGAATTTTTAAATCCAAACTATGATATGCTCTATGAAATCGTCGGCTTAGACGTAAACGAGACATACACTTATATGAGTTCGTTAAAAAATCCCTTTCCGCGGAATGAGTACGCCAAGGAACTGCGTCGCACTCAGGCGAGCAAATGGGCTTTTCGGTGAGTGATTGGTTTTATCAACATTATCTAAAATTTGGTTTTCATTTTAGAAGTTTTATTAAACCAATTTTGTATTCAATTCTATACATTAAAAAAAAAAAAACAAAATTAAAAAAAAAACATAAACAGCTCGGTTGCGGAAGGCATTGAACATTTTAAGAATGGAAACCACGTGGAGGCGTTTCAGTGTCTCAACAAAGCACTCTCCATCGATCCACGGAATGTAGAAGGTTTAGTGGCGCGCGGAGCACTCTACGCCAATAAGGGCTCCTTTCTCAAGGCTGTGGATGATTTTGAAAAGGCACTTAAACTAAACTCCTATCATGTAAACGCACGTAAATATATGGGAGAGACATTGGTGGCACTTGGTCGTCGTTATGAGGACGAGAACCGCATAAAGGATGCAACAAAAGCTTATCAGGATTGCTTAAATATTATACCGAACCATGAGCAAGCGCGCTTGTCGCTTGAAGCTATTCAGCAGCGTACCAGTGTTCCATATTTTGAGAATGTGGTAACTGTGCCAGGTAGCGAAACATATTATTTAAATTTTATACTGAATCGGAAATTTTACTATGAACGTGTTTGGTTTATTTGTTTGTTGTGTGTATATAAGGCGAGCAAGAAGAACTAGATTTGGAAAGGGAAACGGAAAAAATCTCTGTGCATGATTCATCGAGTGGTGAAGGTTCAACATCTAGTGGCAGCGGCTCCGAAACTGAGCCCTCGGGTGAGGAAATCTTTTTGATTTACATATTTTAATTTTTCTTTTTTATTTTGCAGCCTTGATTATTTTATAGCATTTGTTTTTGGCTATCTTATGAAGGGAATTGCAATGTTTAGAAATATATGTAAATTGTATGTACCAATCGCTTAAACTCACTACCGGTGCGCTCAAATTTCAGATAACGAAGAGAATGGCAAGGAAAGTTCACTTTCACCGCTTAGCAAGCGTATGGCTTTACATGTCGCCAGCCTACAAAAGGAGGAAGAATCTAAGAAACAACTCAACCAGCCATTTTATATGAGTGCATATAATGTGCCACCTGAACCCGTGGTGGCTCCAAGGGATATTAATGAATTTCGGGTAGGAGACTTCTGCGATTTCAAGTGTTAATAGAAATATTCTTATTGACATTTTTTTTTTCAGCTGGATGATGACGACACTGGTTCACGTGTGCGCAAGCTATTGCAAGAAGCTTCCAAACATAAGAAGGAAAAAAAGAAAACAAAAAAGAAAAAGAGCAAGAAATCCAAAAAAGTTAGTCGCAAAGAAAAAAACGCTGCGTCATTATTAAGCAAAATCAATTTCCAAGATGCCTACAAGTAAGTTTTTGAATTGTCTTAACAAATTAATAATCAAATTATTGTGAAATCAATAACCCAGAGCGATCAGCAGCATGAACATCGAGAATAAGCTCACTGAAAATTTGCAAAAGTATGAAAAGACCATCGCTCAGATTAAAAAACGTCAAAGTGAGTTGGTGGAATCCATTGAAGCTGGGATGGCAGGGCGCGAACGCTCAGAGACGCCACCACCTCGCGCACCCTCAATGCGTTTGCCCAACCAGCCTACATCTAGTTATGGCGCATCATCATCGTCCATATATTCTAGCTATCCGAGTACATCGGCCGCGGCAGCCGCTGCAGCATCAAAACATGAGCCTGCAAAATTATCGTTTCAAATTAAGCGGCCTGTTACCGTGGACAAAATCGGTTTCTTACGCATAGCAACACCTTTGGCACAAAAAAGCCCTTCATCGCGCTCTCGTTCGCGTACACCATCACGAGAGCGTCGTCGACGTAGCCGCAGTCGCAGCCGATATCGTTCACTTTCGCGTGGCCGACGGGGTAGCCGTCGCCGTTCTCGTTCACGTTCTATTGAACGTGGGGGGCGCAGACGCGGTTCACGTGGCAGACGTTCTTCGCGTTCCAGATCACCATATCGCCGCTCACGTTCTCGTCCATCGCGCCGTACGCGCTCACGTTCACGCTCGCCACTAGGACGTAGTCGTCGTGATTCTCTATCACCACGTGGTAGGAGACGTGAACTCGGTCGAGGTAGTGCAAGAGGATCGCGGCCTTCACCACCACGCCGAAAACGGTCCATTTCACCTATTGATGCAAAGATAGGCAGAGGAGGAAAGCCGAAACGCGGTGGAAGAGGGGCAGCTCGTGGTGCTTTTGGAAATCGTGTATGGCGTAGAGAGGATGCAAAAGATGGACAAGATTCGAATGGGCGCTGGCTACACGACAGATACGAGGAGATAAATGCCCCAAACAAAGTAGATGACGGGCCATCAATTGAGGAAATCGATGAGATCATCAATAGGGCTCAAAAGGAACGTAAACAGGAAATAATACAGCGCGATAAAGACATACTAAAGAAGCCAATTGGGGGCCGGTTTTAAACTCAATATATGGAATATTTACTTAGTTGCATAAGCCTTACATTTAAAATGATAGATGCATATATAATGACATACTGTATACTGTAGTTATTATGAACCAGTTCTTTAGTTACGATCCTGTACGTACATTGTTTTTTTTTTTGCTCATATCTTGATACGAAAAGTATTGTGCGTAAAGAAATTAATAAAGTTTGCATACATACTACATTGGACTGAATAACCGATAAATTGGAGAATTCTCATTACTTTTTATTTGAGCGGAGTTGGTTAGGATTATTTCTTACAACGAATTCCCTAAATTGTGGTTTATTACTTTCCAAAAAAGGCCACAATCCCTATATTTAGGATTAGAAATACTACGATTCTAGTCATAATTTCATTCGGTGGCCGTAATTTCTCGGCGGACTGCTTTAGGCGACAAATTATTTGTATGCTTCAGTCAACGCCAAACAAGGTATTGTATTTTAGTTGGTGTTACCAGCGAATTGAAGTATTCAGAACTAATACTGGAGCATATCTAGAGCAATAAAAGCACTAATGGGGTAAATCCTTGGGATGTAGCCCCAGAATCTAGATAGTACAACCTGTTAAAAATATGGGACGTTAGGTCGGATCTAAAGAAATTACCTAACCATTGTGAAGCAATCACTAGTAAAGCTTCCACGTCTGGCCTGTTTTTGCATCACGGGGAAAGTTTTTGCTTTTGAAAGAAAGCACTTGAAGGTACACGCATATCATTTTGATTGCGCTGCTCAAACATTCGCAATGGCCGAGTGTGCAAAGCACTGGCGTGCCATTCGAGAGATCCGAGGTTCGAATCCTCGCGGAGCGTAACTGTTTAATTTAAATTTTTAGAAAGTTATTTTATGGGTGGTATTATCACTTGCGAAGCGAATGATTTTGGCGAAGCGAATGATTTTGGCGAAGCGAACGGTTTGGCGAAGCGAATTAAAAAGGAAAGAAGGGATTAAAAGTGTTCGCTATGCAAAGAACTTGCACAAGCTGGTAAAAGCGAACACTCTTAATGCATATTTAAAAAGCGTTCGCCAATCCATTCGCTTTTTTCCGTTTTTAAATTCAATTTTCTTTTAGTTCTTAGATTTTTGGTCCTTCTGGCCATTTGTCAACAGCGGGCGGTCAAGGAAGCTTCTGCAGCTGGCTAAGCGTCAGCTCTGGATTCTTACATGTGTACTGACCGGGTTTTGTCCGTTAGGAGGCCACGCGGTGCAACTGTTTGGAAGACGAGGTGGAATCATCTCAGCACTTCCTTCTCAGCTGCCCGGCATTCGCAAAAAAAAGGTTGTAGCATGTCGGTGCGCATTTCTTTAGCACTCCCGAAAAGCTCTCCAGAGTGAACATCAGCTGCCTGCGGATCTTTTTTTTTGATCACCTAGCGCTTCTTTTAGTTCTAACTCAGAGTATCTTCAGCTACCGTTCAAAGAACTTGTGTAATGTAATATGGTAACACAATGGACAATCTAATTTATGTCTATGTGAGTCCCCTGTGTCGGGTCTGCCACTACAACCTAACCTAACCTAGATTTTGGTTTTTAAAAGAAAAATGTACATATTTGCTTAACTTCATTAAATTTTTATTTATTTTTTTTTTTTATTTAATATTCTTTTAATTTTTAGATTTTATTGTTTTAAAAATAAAATTATACATATATTTGCTTAATTCCATTTAATTTTTAGAAACTTATTTTATTTTTTTTTCGCTTTTATATTTTTTTATTTAACTTTCTTTTGCTTTTTAGATTTTATTATTTTAAAAGGAATTTTTTTTTTAATTGGGAACTTATTTTATTTGTTTTTACTTATTTTCTAAATTTATTTACACGAAATTTTTTGTAATTAATTTTTTTTTTTGATTTTTAGGTTTTATTAATTTAATAAGAAAATTTTTTTTATTTTTTAGTTTTTAGAAATTTATTTATTTATTCTTTTTTATACATATTTTTCTTTTATAATTTTTTTTTGTAATTTTTTTTTCTTTTCGTAATTTAAATTTCCTTTAATTTTAAGTTTTAATTGTTTTAAAAGGAAAAGCACATTTTTTATTTAATTTATATTTTAGAAACCTTATTTCTAAAAGACACACAGAATAACGCAAATACCTCCTCGTTAGCAGGTTTTATTTTTTGGAGGTCCTGAATTCGCTACTTTTCGTTATTGATCCATTTCGTTTCCAGCAACCTTAAACAGCCTACCTTGAAGCTATGCAAAAATTACGGCCCATGTGTCGTCCACACCAAATCGTAAATATCTACATATTGCTTTAACTACTCCACCTAAAATTATGTCACAAAAACTTGATTTTTAAAGTCACTAATAATGACGACTACCATTGTTACTGGCGTCAAAGTTTTAAGCGCAGTGGTTAAAACATTTGTCAATCAAGGAGTTTTACCATTGGCGTGGGAATACATAGAGCTGCAAGTCAACTCGATTTCAACATCAATTTTGGCAAAATTTTAGATTTTAGTGACCATTTTACGCGGGCAAAATTAAATAATTTCGACTTTACCATGGCTGTGTTCAAAAATGCATCAATCCAAAGCATTAGCCTCTTTTTATTTCCAAGCTAAAATTGATGAAAATGCCATATTTGCGCAACTAAGTTCCAATTCAGCATTTAACAGTGGTTGCGCATAGTGGACATTTCCATCAATTGTAGTTTAAAAATAAAAGATACTGATGCTTTGGCTTGATGCATTTCTGAACACAGGGCATAACCTCAGCACACCACCAAATCAGCTAATTTAAAGCCATCGTGCTGCTATACTAACTATAAAAATTCATTAAACATTTATTCGGAAACTTTTTACTCCTTCAAAAAACGCTCCATGATTCGTTCACAATAAACATCTGGAAACTTGCAAAGTAGAAAAAAGAGAAACCGACGCATATTTGTCCAAGCACAATAACAATGTCAACAGAGAGCCACGAATCAGCAATGTGGGCGACTAGCAACAAACGTACATACATACATACTAGAGTCCAGCGCAATTGTATTTGCCGCATTTCATTCAATAAGTACTCCTTGCATTGTACTCTACTCCCAACACATTGTTACTTTTTTTCCGCATACATACACTACTTGGCGTTGAGAGAGTAAATACTTGACGTACTTGCTATTACTCCACCAAAGTACGTA